CACCATTAAGAATGCCTACCCCATTCCTCTTATTGCTGAATTATTTGATAGACTCCAAGGTGCTAAAGTATTTACTAAGCTTGATCTTAGAAGTGCTTACAATTTAGTGAGAATCAAGGAAAACCATGAGTGGAAGACTGCATTTAATACCAGAAGTGGACACTATGAATATCTAGTGATGCCATTCTGGTTGTGCAATGCTCCAGCGGTTTTCCAAGATTTCATAAATGATGTACTCAGGGATGACATTTACTTGTTTGGACTATCTGGATGATATCCTTATTTATTTTCCTGACATTCAGCCTAGCCACGATCACGTTAGACAAGTTCTGCAGACCTTGTTAAAGAATCAACTTTATTGTAAATTAGAAAAATGCATCTTTGACCAATCTGAAGTACAGTTTTTGGGATATAATAGCTATGCCTCAGGGTTTCAGATGGATCCCACTGGGTTGAAAGCCATTCAAAGGTTCATTGGTTTTGCCAATTATTACAGAAGATTTATAAAGGGATTTTCTTCAGTAATAGCCCCCATCACCAATATGACACGCAAGGGGGTTAGCAGTACGATATGGTCTAAGGAGGCTATAGAAGCCTTTGAAACTTTCAGACAGCGGTTTGCCTCTGCCAACATATTGATACATCCTGACACCAGTAAACCTTTCATACTGGAAGTTGATGCATCAGAGACAGGGGTAGGGGCAGTTCTCTCCCACAGGGAGAGCCAGGATACTCCATTGCATCCTTGTGGTTACTTCTCTAGAAAGTTGTCTCCTGACGAGCGCAATTATGATATTGGCAATAGGGAGTTGTTGGCCATTATTCTAGCTCTCAAGGAGTGGCAACATCTTTTAGAGAGTTCAAAGGACCCTCTTTTGATCATTACTGATCACAAAACCCATAGGAGATGCTAAATGATTGTCTTCTAGACAAGCTAGGTGGTCTCTTGTTCCTTTCTCGCTTTAATTTTCTTATTACTTATTGACCTGGTTCTAAAAATGTCAGGGCCGACGCCTTATCCAGACAGTTTGATACTGAGTCTATACAAGAGCAAGAAAAGTCCCATATCATTCCCCCGGAATGTATCATTGCTTCCACTATCCTTTCATTGTCCTCTCTGCTGCTTGGCTCCATCATGGAGGCTCAGGCGCCCTGCGGTAAACCTCAGGATAAATTGTTCATTCCATTGGGGGAAAGGGTTCATATCATGAAGGTGTTTCACGACAATGTGTCTGCTGGTCACCCAAGTATTAATAAATCCACTTCTGCTATCATGAGGTCATTCTGGTGGGATTCCCTCAGGAAGGTTGTTAAGGAGTATGTACAGACTTGTTCTGTTTGTGCGGTTTCCAAAGTACCTCATAAACTCCCTTGTGGCTTGTTACAACCTCTTCCCGTTCCTGAGGTCCCATGGTCCCACTTGTCTATGGATTTCATTGTAGAACTTCCTAGTTCTAATGGTTATACCACTATTCTCATGGTTGTTGACAGTTTTTCTAAAATGGCTTCATCCCTCTCAAGAAATTACCGTCATCTCAAGACCTGGTACTGATCTTGTCCGTCTGCATGGCATTCCTCACAATATTGTATCTGATAGAGATTCTCAGTTTGTATCCTGGTTTTGGAGTGCTTTCAATAAGCAATTGGGGATTGAATTGTCTTTGTCTTTTTCATCCTCTTACCACCTCCAGACCAATGGAACAGCTGAGAGGGCTAACCAGTCTTTGGACTTATACTTTCGTTGTTTCGTTAATAGCACTCAAGACAATTGGTCTGAATTATTACCATGGGCCGAGTTTGCTAGGAACAATGCTGACCATGACTCCTCTGGGCATAGTTCATTTTTTGTTAATAATGGCCGGCATCCTACTGTCCTACTGGCTGTTTTTTCTGATACGGCTATTCCTGCTTTGGATGACTCTCTGGCTTCCATCCGTGATATCTGGGTTAAAGTTCAATCTGCTCTGGGTACTGCTGCTGACCGTTTCAAGCATTATGCTGATACACGTCGAGGTGCCAACCCTGTTTACCAAGTGGGTGAGAGGGTTTGGTTATCTTCTCGTAACATCAGGCTCAAAGTCCCTAGCATGAAATTTGCTCCTAGGTTCCTTGGACCTTTTCGTGTCCTTCGTAGGATCAATCCTGTTGCTTACTCTATGACCCTTCCGGCCTCTTTGCAAATTCTTAATACATTTCATGTGTCCTTGCTCAAACCTCTTGTTTGCAATAAATATACTGTCTCAAGTGTCCCTCCTCCTCCCTTAGTTGTTTTTCTCAGGGCACTTTACAGTACTTGGTGGACTAGAAAGGTTATGGACCAGCCGATCGTTCTTGGGTTCCGGCATCTGATATACATGCTGGCTGCAAGATTTGCTATTTTCACGCCAAATTTCCTCTACAGCCTGGTCCTGCCCGCCCGGTGGGCGTTCTTCAGGTGGGGGGTGGGGGGGGGTAATGTAACGTATTTATCCGCTTATAAAAATGTGGTTAATGGCATTTACTGTCCACAGAGGAAAAGTTGTGCCGAGCAGCAACCAAATCCACAGAAGGGTTAATGCTGAGCAGCAATTATGCAAATGGGAACCTGGTAACTGCCTTTGGGGTCAAAGGCTGGCTATAGCCTATCAGATCTAGAGGAGGGGTATTTAGGCCCAGTTCTCATCCTGCTCAGTGCCCTGTTGTGGTTTCCCTTGTGGTTGGCCGAGAGCGCATTATTGATTGTGGTATTTCTGTTTTTTTTACTTTGGCATTGTTTTTGACTTCCCTGTTTTCTGGTATCCCTGACTCCTGGCTTTTCCTTATCGTTGTGTCTCTTTCTGTTTCCCTTGACCTCGGCTATTCCTGACTATTCTTTGGTACGTTAGTCCGGCCATTCTAAGGTCCGGTATGCGTTACCTATCAGTCCTCTGTGTTACACAATTCTACGTGCTGGATCATTCTGTAATCCTGACAAGATGATGCTCTGCTTAGGGGTTTCTGCAGTGCTTGGTTGCTTTTGATTTCTGGGAGTTACTAATGAATAGTCCCAAACAGAGGTCAAAAAGGCTAACACCTACTCTTAGATTAATATCAATTCCATACAGTTTGCTGAATAGCTGCTAAATGGAGTTCCCCAGAGGGATGGCCTCATATCCCTTGGAAGTCCAGCTAAATGTGGTAATCAATAAATGGTAACTAGCTTCTCTGTTTCAATACAGTATCATAATCTACCACTAGGTGGCTCCAAGTGACAGTAAAAGTAAATTAAGTAAAGCAGCAAGGATCAATGCAAGACAACCTTTCCTATAGCACTCTAAGTCAAAAGCTAAACTAGCCCTACTTGTTTGCCCGCTGCTTGTATTCTTAATTAGTAGCAGAAAAGCAGAGTGCACTCCTGACAAGCACTGCACCTTCACAGAGCAAAACACATGTTGAGTGCTCGCACCTATTCCTAGCTATCTGGTGCGAGCACTTGACATGTGGTTTGCTCTGTCAAGGCGCAGAGCTTGTCAGGATTGCACATATAATATTATGTATACATTTTGAAGTACACTGAGTATTTTCTTGCTATTTCATTCCAGATAAAGCGAGAACCATCTAAATTAAGATACAGGTGATGTCAGCGGATCATCTATTCTGTTTAATGCCTTGTACGTACCTTGCCAACTCCAATTCATTGCACTTGGAAATACCAGGCGGCATCTTATCCTGGTGAGACTATCACTTATCAGAGATCGTCAATAGAAGGAGTGCACTTTATCCAGAATCAGATGTCGAACCAAAGAAGGAAAGAGAGATAACTGGGAGAGGGCTAGAAATAGCCGTAAAACACATATTGCACTCTTATGTGCATATTTATTAGTAAGTGCACATTTATACCAAGATCTTTAAAACTGTAATACAGTGTTATCCTATGAAATTTTTTGTTTTGTTAGATAATAAAGTTGATATCTCTATGTTGAAACCTACGTTTCGAACCTCCATAACTAAATCCATTAAAACTGGTATGTTATTTGGGAGTTCACAAATCACTGGGTTCTGTCCTTATCATATTCTATACACTTCTTTTTTCACATTCTTACCTGTGTGCTTTCCTCTCTCAGAAAAGGCAGTGTTTACAATTGTCAGCCTGCAGGTGCAGACCCTCAGCACCTGAACCACTTGTCATGATTTCTACTATCATTAATTAGCGATCAGGCTCCACCTATGTTTCTGATGTCATCAATTCCTGTGTTAAAAGGAAGCTGCAGCTGATTTCAGGTGCCAAATTAATTTGCCACTTTGATACTTGATACGTTGTTGCTCACTGCTGAGAGAGCGCCTTCCTATGATTACCTGTGTACCGTACCTCTCTGGCTGGATCCTTACTACTCTCCCACTCCCAGACTAGGAACAGACCATTGAATTCCTCCATATACTACAGGGAACCATAATCCACACTATTCTGGAAAGGACTTCCATGCTCATTATCCAAAGAAGGCAAGATAAATTCTCCAGTAACTGGGATTAATAATTAGTTCATACCTAAAGTCATTGGAAAGAATAAATGGGAATATACCTGTCTGTCCTTTGGGATTCAGCTACTCCTCAGCTGATTACACTTTCCTAATTTAATTCAGTTCTGCCAGAATCTAAAGGACTGATATATTTTCCCCCAAAGCACGATCTAATTTATTTCAACAATTACTATTGAAACCTCAATGACTCTGTTATATTTCTAAAAGAAGAATTGCCTTTTTCCCATTTATTAATTGAAGTCAAATGGACTGTATTATAAATGCTTAATTAAGGAGTTACCTTGTTTATTTATTTCTGCTAAACACTATCTTCTTAAGCAATACCAATTAAGATTGACATTTCTTATTGCTGTAGAAGAATGCCAAAGTTAAATTACTTCATTCCAATAAATTAAATGTTCTTAAAGTGACAATATCAAATGTATTCATTCATCTGTGGTCATAGGCGTGCGCAGCCTATTGCATTAGGGTGTGCACCCTAAAGCACAAGCCGCATATATATATGTATGTGTGTGTGTGTGTGTGTGTGTGTGTGTATATATATATATATATATATATATATATATATATATATATATATATACACATACACATATATACACACATACACACACTGCTGTGTGTGTGTGTGTGTGCTGTGTGAGGGTGCTGTTAGTGTGATGTGTGTGTGACGGTGCTGGTAGTGTGCTATGTGGGTGAGGGTGTTTGTGTGTGCGTGCTTGTGAGGATGCTGTTAATGTACTGTGTGTGAGGGTGCTGTTTGTGTGTGTGTGTGCGCTTGTGAGGGTGCTGTTAATGTACTGTGTGTGAGGGTGCTGTTTGTGTGTGAGGGTACTGGTAGTGTGCTGTGTGTGTGTTTGTTAGGGTCCTGTTTGTGTTTGTGAGGGTACTGTTAGTGTGCTGTGTGTGTGTGAGGGTGCTGTTTGTGTGCTGTGTGTTTGTGAGGGTGCTGTATGTGTGTGGGTGCTGTATGTGTGTTGGTGCTGTGTATGTCTGTGGGTGCTGTATGTCTGTGGGTGCTGTGTATGTCTGTGGGTGCTGAATGTGTGTGGGTGCTGTGTATGTCTGTGGGTGCTGTATGTCTGTGGGTTCTGTGTATGTCTGTGGGTGCTGTGTATGTGTGTGGGTGCTGTGTATGTGTGTGGGTGCTGTATGTCTGTGGGTGCTGTATGTCTGTGGGTGCTGAATGTGTGTGTGTGCTGTATGTGTGTGTGCTGTGTATGTCTGTGTGTGCTGTATGTCTGTGGGTGCTGTATGTCTGTGGGTGCTGAATGCGGTGGGTGCTGTGTATGTCTGTTGCGCTGTATGTGTGTGGGTGCTGTGTGGGTGCTGAATGTCTGTGGGTGCTGTGTATGTCTGTGGGTGCTGAATGTGTGTGGGTGCTGTGTATGTCTGTGGGTGCTGTATGTGTGTGGGTACTGTGTATGTCTGTGGGTGCTGTATGTGTGTGGGTGCTGTATGTGTATGGGTGCTGTGTATGGGTGCTGAATGTCTGTGGGTGCTGAATGTCTGTGGGTGCTGAATGTGTTTGGGTGCTGAATGTGTTTGGGTGCTGTGTATGTCTGTGGGTGCTGTATGTGTGTGGGTGCTGTGTATGTCTGTGTGTGCTGTGTATGTCTGTGGGTGCTGTGTATGTCTGTGGGTGCTGTGTATGTCTGTGGGTGCTGTATGTCTGTGGGTGCTGAATGTGTGTGGGTGCTGTATGTGTGTGTGCTGTGTGTGTGTGTGCTGTGTGTGTGTGTGCTGTGTGTGTTGTATGTGTGTGGGTGGGTGATTGTGGGGGTGGAGGTGGGGGTACATTATTTGCTATCCCCCCTCCCTTCTTACCTTTTGTAGGGAGGGGGGATCGTGCTGCTGCTTCCTTCCCTGGTGGTCCAGTGAAGGAGGGGATCCTTGCTGCTGTGATCCCTGGTGGTCAAGTGAAGGAGGGGATCCTTGCTGCTGTGATCCCTGGTGGTCCAGTGAAGGAGGGGATCCTTGCTGCTGTGATCCCTGGTGGTCCAGTGAAGGAGGGGATCCTTGCTGCTGTGATCCCTGGTGGTCCAGTGAAGGAGGGGATCCTTGCTGCTGTGATCCCTGGTGGTCCAGTGGAGAGTGAACTCTAACCCCTGTGGGGCTAGAGTTCACTCTCGCGAGATTTGAGCATTGCAGCGGCAACGCTCATATCTCGCGAGAGGAACCCGGCGGAGCTGCCGGCAGGAGCTCCGCCGGGTCCTCTCCTGCCTCCCTCCCTGCATGTGGGTCAGTGGGGAGGGAGGCTGAGAGCAGAGCCGGCGCTCGGATAGCGCCGGCTCTGCCTGAGCCGACAGGGGAGATCCTGAGATCTCCCCTGCCGGTCTCAATATGCATAGGCGTGCCGCGGGATTAGGGACACCCGGCACACCCCATGCGCACGCCTATGGTAGGGACCATCCTCTCCCAGAAGGAGAGCCAGGAAACTCCTTTGTATCCTTGTGGCTACTTCTCTAGAAAGTTGTCTCTTGCTGAGCGCAATTATGATATTGGCAATAGAGAATTGTTGGCCATTATTCTAGCTCTCAAGGAGCAGCGACATCTTTTAGAGGGTTCCAAGGACTTTTGATCATTACTGACCACAAAAACCTGGCTTACATAGGAGATGCTAAGCGATTGTCTTCTAGACAAGCTAGGTGGTCACTATTCCTTTCTGGCTTTAATTTTCTTATAACTTATAGACATGGTTCTAAAAATGTCAAGGCCAACGCCTTGTCTAGACAGTTTGATACTGAGTCTATACATGAACAAGAAACATATCATTCCCTCTGAATGTATCATTGCTTCCACGATCCTTTCATTGTCTTCTCCGCTGCTTGGCTCCATCATAATGTTCTGTTTGTGCGGTTTCCAAGTTACCTCATAAACTCCCTTGTGGCTTGTTACAACCTCTTCCCATTCCGGAGGTTCCATGGTCCCACTTGTCCATGGATTTCATTGTTGAACTTCCTAGTTCTAATGGTTATAACACTATTCTCATGGTTGTTGACTGTTTTTCTAAAATGGCTCATTTTATCCCACTCAAGAAGTTACCATCATCACAAGACCTGGTACTGATCTTTATATGTGAGATTGTCCGTCTGCACGGCATTCCTCACAATATTGTATCAGATAGAGGTTCTCAGTTTGTGTCCTGGTTTTGGAGGGCTTTCAATAAGCAATTAGGGATTGAATCATCTTTTTCATCCTCTTACCACCCCCAAACTAATGGTACAGCTGAGAGGGCTAACCAGTCTTTGGAGTTATATTTGCGTTGTTTCGTTAATAGCACTCAAGAGTCCATGGGCCGAATTTGCTAGGATCAATGGTGACCATGACTGCTCTGGACATAGCCTGTTTTTTGTTAATAATGGTCGGCATCCTACTGTCCTCCCTGCTTTTTTTTCTGACACAGCTATTCCTGCTTTGGATGACCATCTTGCTTCCATTTGTGATACCTGGGTCAAATATATAGGCTCAATCCTGTTTCATACTCTCTGGCCCTTCCGGCCTCCTTGACTATTCCTAATACCTTTCATGTGCCTTTACTCAAACCTCTTATTTGCAATAAATATACTGTCCCAAGTGTTCCTCCTCCCTTGGTTGTTTCTGGACAGGAGGAGTATGAGGTCTCCTCCATAATTGATTCCAGGTTTTCTCTGGGCTCTTGGCAGTAGTTAGTGGATTTGAAAGGTTATGGACCAGCCGACAGTTCTTGGGTTCCGGCCTCTGATATACATGCTGGCGGCAAGATTCGCTATTTTCATGCTAAATTTCCTCTTAAGCCTGGTCCTGCCTGCCCGGTGGGCGGTCTTCAGGTGGGGGGTAATGTAACATATTCTTCCTCACCTTGCGGTCTCTGCACCCAGTGACTGTGCGTCTGCATGACTGACATTTGCGGCATGTTAATGGACGCCGGACGCTGTGGATCCACGGCAAAATACACCCCCACGTCCGCTCACGTGATTGATGATGTCGGTGTGCATGTGACGTCATACATGCGCCGCGCGCGCACATTTTGGGGTCAAAGAGCAATTTTGGCGATCATAAAAGTTAAGCAGGTATTTAAGCCTCATAATACCTTTCCTCATTGCCCTGTCGTGGTTTCCCTAGTGGTTGTCCGAGAGTGCGTTCCTTATTCTAGTATATTCTGTTTTTTGACTTGGGCTTTGATTTTGACTTCTGGCTTTCCTTTATTGTTGTGTCCCTTTCTGTGTCCCCTGACCTCGGCTATTTCTTATTATTCTTTGGGACATTAGTCCAGCCGTTCTAAGACCCGGTAATACAGTACCTATTAGTCACCTGTGTTACACAATTCTACATGCTGGATCATACAGTAATCCTGACAGAAGGGGAGCCTGAATACCAGCTATGGGACGCTGTTCCCAAAACCAAAAGTCCAGCAACCTGACAGAGCACCAAGACATTGCAGCAATGCTCCAACGACAGGTACGGTCCAAGATGGTGCCCACTGAGGATCCCAGTACCATGGCGTCCAACGCCACGCTAGAGCCCCAACTACAGGGCGAGCAGGCTAACCCTCACATCGGGTCTTCCACTCTCATGGAGTCTCCGGAAAGCACGACCCCGGCCACCAAGCATGACCTATCATAAAATCATAGGAGCTCAGTCTGCCTAAGGGGCGGTGACGTGACACGTGAGCATGCACGCTACCATCCCCACGAGGATATGGGTGTGAGGAGGGGATCTCTTGATGCTGAGCTGGAAGAGTGAATTCTTGCAAGATTGCGAGAACGCCGAAGACGAAGCAGCTCCTAACAAAAACAGTATTCTGAGCAGTCACAACCTTCTACAAGAGGGCTAGTTAGCTATCTATCTACATACTCTATTAACTGGCTACTACTTTTTATTGTGGATTCCTGAGGCGGCAAAGAAGAAGAGAAGGGGGGGAAAGGAAAAGTATTTTTTTCCCGCTAGTCTATCCGTTTGCCGTTCTCCATCTACTCCACGATTGTTATGCCTGCAGGACAGTAAATAAGAATAGTAAAGTGGAGCTGTCTTTTAAATCAGAGAAGAACAAGAAAGAATATAATAGGGAGCACATCACATGCCATTCTAGTAATGTAGTATACCTTCTTCAATGCCCATATCAGTTACAATATGTGGGAAGAACTACACGCCCCCTCCAGGTTAGAATGAGAGAGCATATATACAATATTAAGAAGGATCTAGAGTGTCATAGCGTCTCTGAACATTTCAAGAAGAAACACAACCAGGACCCTAGCGGGGTGGAGTTTATAGGGATCAAACCTGTGTGCAGGGATTGGTGAGGGGGTGATTTCCTTCGTAAGATCGGACGGGAGGCGATGCATTGGATTTTTTTTGTTAGACACCCTTACCCCGTCTGGTCTTAAGGATTTTGAGCTATGTAATTTTTTATAAAATTGAGAATATTTTTAGCTTCTATCTCTAAAATACTTGTTTCTTTTTCTTTTTATGTATTTTTACATCTTTCGGTTTATTTTTTGTTTTTTTACTCCAAGATTTTTTGAATAATATATATATATATAGATAGATAGATAGATAGATAGATAGATGTGCATTTTTTATTTTTTTTTATTAAAAACCATCTGTCCATCCTTGGCATACCTGGGTGAACCCATATT